TAAGGTCACCATTCAGAAAGGCCATTTTGACATCAAGTTGATCCGATTTCCAATTGAAGTGAACGGTGAGAGTTAATAGAATTCTGATAGAGGTATACTTGGCCACCTGAGAACATATTTCATTATAGTCAACTCCTTCTTTTTGAGTAAACCCCTTAGCCACTAATTTCGCTTTATACCTCTTGCTTTCTAGATTTGAGTCTCCTTGTTGGATTTTAAAAATTCACTTACAATCAACAACCTTTTAATTTTTAGGTCTATCAACTAAAACCCAAGTTCCATTTTTAATAAGGGAGTCCATTTCTTCATTCATTACCTCCTCCCAAAGTTTTGTGTCAGAACATTTAATGACATCATCAAAGGAAACGTGTTTTGAATTCACAGAGTCAAGAGCAAAAAAATAAGGTAATAAATTCATCATTGTTGAATCTGGTAGAAGGTTTTATTTCTCTCATCTCTCTGTCTCTAGTAAGTTGATAATCAGTAAGAGTAGTATTAGCATATTCGTTTTCATTCTCAGATTCAGTTTGCTCATGAGAAGGATAAGTTTGAGTAGACTCTACCTCAATAAAATCATCTAGATTGGCAGCATTTTCAGTCTGATTTTCCAAGACAGTTTCTTTAACAGGTGCAGATTCAAAAGTTTTAGGATCAGTTGACTTATTACAAGGCATGTCACTTTCATTAAAGATGACATTTCGACTAACAATCACTTTATAACCATTTTGGCATTTGACTCACAGTTAGGGGTGGGCGCGGGTTGGGTTGGGTTGATTTTCCTCCTAACCCTAACCCAACCCAACACGGTTGGTTTGATCTAATTTCAATCGAACCCAACCCAAATACATGTTGAAACCCAACCATATCCCATCCCAATCAAGTGTCTGTTGGGTTGGGTTGAATTGATCGGTTTGGACAAAGATTAATTTATTACCATATATTTCAAATAAAACCAATACGTCATACAAATAAGATTAATATTTAATACAATGTACAACCTTTCGAATGAAAATTCACCCAAATACAATTAATACAGCCATCCACTAAGTAAATATTGTATCTCAGAATTAATATAGTAAACTTGTGGCAGCTACGTAAACATTGCATCTCAGAAGAGCTGCCATCTTACAACTCAGAAAAGCTACCATCCACTATGATGAGAACTACGTAGCAACGAACACTATGCAACCCA